TGAAACTATTATGTTCGTAAAGCATTTGGTATATTTTCTGGGTTTTGACATTCTAAGTATCTTGAGTATATAACATTGATATTTGAGAAATTTCTACCTATCTTTGTGGGCTATGTGTGGGAAGTACGAGGTTGTTTTATGAGGTGTGGAAAGATGTGAGTATAGATTGTCGGTTTGAGGTGCTAGAAGCACTACCCCGTGTACCTCCCCCTGGATTTGTGAATGGATTATGGAAAGGTGTGATACTTGGAAATGTCGGAACCCGGGGCATGCCCTAGCGGGGTGTCGCTGTAGACCCTTGATTGGGTAGTCTGCGCGCGTAGGACGGTTCTAGGCGTACGGGTCTTGATTCTTCGTCCGTACGTGCTAGGTTAGAGTGTCAGTCCCCCAGGTGGACGACTCATCCCTAGCCACATGGATGTTTGAGGCCGGATAAGTGTGAGCTAGTCAAACAATCCCCTGTTATATTGTTTCCCCGGTACAATTAGGTGTGTCGTATATATATATATATACATTTGTTCTTGTTTTTTAGCGAGGATACTTCCCCGCTCGTCGTGCCGGTGGACACGTGTTTCGAGAGTTTGATTTGAGATTGGTAAGGGAAGGTTTGGATGGGTTGATAGTTTCACTGGATTTTGGATTTAGCTCGGGTTTGAGCAAACTATATATATATGATTATGATAGTTTTTAATGCATTGGTTTCATGCATGGTTTTCTAACAGTTGGGTTATATTACTTTGGTTTAAATTGAACTAAACTTTGTTTTGTCCACTCACAATTTTCTGTTTTGCGCCCCACAGCCAGTAGTGACTGGAACGAGCCGCAGTGCTGTGTTTTGTGCTCATGTTTTCACGAGCTTCAGTACTTGAGCCTTCTCAGAGCCTCTGTGCTATGTAAAATCGTTAAACTTCCTTCCTACTTGTAAATTTTTGAATTCTGTTAGTTGCTCTGTTATTGCCTTGTTAGGATGTGATTTTTTGAGGCCGGAGGCCATGGTTTGTAACACTATGCTTTGTGTAATGCATGCTGGCTGTTGGGTTGTTTTTATTTGTGTTTTTGGTATGTTTGAAATTTGGGATTTGTCCCGTTTACAGGGGAGACTGCCAAATTTTTTGGTAGAAAGTCTCGGTTCTTAGTAAGTAGGCCCGGCATCTGTGGGATGTCGGATTTTTAGACGGGATCCGTCCCGGTTTCCGAGGAGATTCGGGGCGGGTCCTGTCATGACTCATAAAGGAAAATAAAAACTAAAAAAAAAAAAATCAGTTGAGAAAAATAAAAGTGGGAAAAAAAATTCTTTTGAGAGATTACAATAGTTGCCAGCATAATAAAAGTGAAAAACAAAACTGACAATTAAAAGAAAAAGGACACATATCAAAGAGACGGAAACAAGAGGGAGGAGAAAAGAAAAAGAAAAGAGAGAGGAAAAGTGTCCTAAGTGGAGTTAGCTGCAGAGGGTCTAAGTGAAATTCTCCGTTTCTATTATCTTCAACGATATCACCGGAGTTCATCAAACTTTATTGGTCAATTCATAATGTGCTCGGACAGAAGCAAGTGTGAATGAGTTGAAACAAGACAGAAACGAACCAGCTGTAACTTGTCCATTAGACGCGTTTTTGGGTTTACCATCAGTGCTGGCGGCAGTAGCCAGTAGGGGCCTATACCAATTAGAAGACTCTTCTGATAAAAAAGACTCTTCTGATATAAAAAAAGACTCAGTAATGAGCGGGTATATATGGCGCAGATTTCGAGCAAATGGTAAATCACATAATCCTCACCTAAGTAAGCCCTCCTAAGTAAACCCTTCGCAGACCTATAACTAGTGGTTCTTCACTCAATTGGGTATAGTAAATAAAACAGAAATTGCAAAGCCTCTCCTAAGTAAGCCCTTAGTCAGATCCATCTAAGAATGGCCCTCTACGCAGATGCAGCTGTTGTGGAACTTCTTGATAGCAGTAACTATAAGGATTGGAGTGTATTGGTTAAAACTTACTTGTTGGCTCAAGACCTTTGGGATGTAGCGGAAGAAGAAGAAGAAGCTGATGATAAGTTCAAAGCTTGGAGGGAGAAGAATGCCACGGCATTACATAAAATCCAAATTGCGTGCGGGCGGGAAGCTTCTTCCCTCATTAGAAACACCAGTTCAGCCAAACGCGCTTGGGATACTTTGGCAGAAGAGTTCAACCCAAAACCAGGTAAGTCCCCAGTTCAAATCTTGAACCTCAACAAATCTGTGAGAAGTAAATATTCGACTTTAACCAGAAATATATATATATATATATATATATATATATATATATATATATATATATATATATATATATATATATATATATATATATATATATATATATATATATATATATATATATATATATATATATATATATATATATATATATATATATATATATATATATATATATATATATATATATATATATATATATATATATATATATATATATATATATATATATATATATATATATATATATATATATATATATATATATATATATATATATATATATATATATATATATATATATATATATATATATATATATATATATATATATATATATATATATATATATATATATATATATATATATATATATATATATATATATATATATATATATATATATATATATATATATATATATATATATATATATATATATATATATATATATATATATATATATATATATATATATATATATATATATATATATATATATATATATATATATATATATATATATATATATATATATATATATATATATATATATATATATATATATATATATATATATATATATATATATATATATATATATATATATATATATATATATATATATATATATATATATATATATATATATATATATATATATATATATATATATATATATATATATATATATATATATAAGTAAGCCCTTTGTCAGATCCATCTAAGAATGGCCATCTCCGCAGATGCAGCTGTTGTGGAACTTCTTGATAGCAGTAACTATGTGGATTGGAGTGTATGGGTTAAAACTTACTTGTTGGATCAAGACCTTTGGGATGTAGTGGAAAAAGAAGAAGAATATGACTACGAGGACGACGAAGAGGAAGCTGATGATAAGTTCAAAGCTTGGAGGGAGAAGAATGCCACGGCTTCATAAAATCCAAATTTCGTGCGGGCGGGAAGCTTCTTCCTGCATTAGAAACACCAGTTCAGCCAAACACGCTTGGGATACTTTGGCAGGTAAGTCCCCAGTTCAAATCTTGAACCTCAACAAATCTGTGAGAAGTAAATATTCGACTTTAACCAGAAATATATATATATATATATACACATATTTTATATATAACCAAATTATACTCTAAACATTTAATTCACTAACCACAAGACCACTATTTCTTGTGGTTCTTCACTCAATTGGGTATAGTAAATAAAAACAGAAATTGCAAAGCCTCTCCTAAGTAAGCCCTTGGTCGGATCCATCTAAGAATGGCCATCTCCGCAGATGCAGCTGTTGTGGAACTTCTTGATCAAGATGTCAGGCAAAACAAATGCTCATCTCACGCCATATTCTTTACAAAAAAAAATTGTCTTGAAAGTCTTCAAAAGTGAGTCAATTACTAAGAACCTAACTTTTCAAAATGACAATTAGCGCCACTTTTTGTAAAGAATATGATGTCAAATGACCATGAGTCTCTTAAAAACATTACTTTAATTGATGTAATTGGTAGGAATTACAGTTGGGTAAATCAACCAGTTTTGTATAGTTTATGGGAAAATTTGGTTGAAATAAAAGTTTGGGGGTAGATTGACACAATCTATATAATTCATGAGGGAGGGAAAACGAACTATACTTCATATCGTAATCATGTATTAATGTAACAAACGTGCTGCAAAGAGCGGATGTTTTACTATTAAAAAAATAAAAAATAAAAAATAAACTAAGAGTGGAGGTTTTAACTTCAGCCATCCCCTTCAATTGAGGTATATCCCTTCAATCACATTATTGAGGAGACACTTTGTAGGGCCATTTCGCATATGATAAACTTGTTTTTTTCCTTGGATCAAAATGTTGGGAATAATAGCGAAAAATAAAGACTAATAAATAATATATATGATTCGTTTACACTTCTAGCTACATATTCTACAACTACAATCATATTCGTTTACACTTCTAGCTACATATTCGTTTACACTTCTTGATATGACTGAAAAAAAAAAAGAGCTACATACATATTATATGCATGGGTACAATTCATTCAATTATTAACACAAAAAATAAATGGATTATGTTATCTGATATCATTAATAAATTAATTAACCAAACTTTGCGCAGGATATTACAACTACAATCAGTATAAGCCGTTGTTCGATGCTGTGTGCAGTGGGGATTGGAATAAAGCAAAGGAATTTCTTACCTTACATCCCAATGCAATAAGAGCAAAAATTCCTTCTATAAACAACACAGCTCTTCACATGGCAACAAGATTAGAGCACGAGCATATTGTCGAAGAGTTGGTGCAGTTGATGTCAGAGGAAGACTTGGAATTAAAAGATAATTACGGTTGGACAGCTCTTGCTGTTGCTGCACTGAGAGGAAATAAAAAAATGGTTGAATGCATGGTTAGAAAGAGCAAGAAAATACTTAGTATTCCCACTGAGAACAATATGACTCCAATTCTCCACGCTTCTATCAATGAACATTGGGATGTCGTTGATTATCTTTACTCCGTCACTCCCCTCCAAGATCTAAAGCCAGAGAAAGGACCATACGGCGCTACACTTCTTCACTGCTTTATTATTGGTATGAATTTTGGTAAGAGTTTTAATCTTTTAACAATGAAATTGATTACTCCTTTTTTTGCCTTAATTATAAAAACTTGTTTTTCTCTACTACAGATATTGCTTGGAAATTAATTCAGTCTTGCCCACAATTGGTCTTTACCGAGGATATTGAAGGGAAATTCCCGATGGAAGGATTTCTACCTTCTGCATTCCCGAGTGGAACACGCCTCAAATTCTGGCAACGATGGATCTATAATTGTTAGTATTCGCATTCTCTTTCCTCTTACAATTACAATTATATATTTTCAATGTTAGATTGACTGTAATGAACCTCTAAGACTTCAAAATTGACTGCGCTTTTGAATCCTTGAAACTTAAAAATAATAGTTATTGATCTTAATGGCTAAGAAATGACAACTTCAGTGACTTTATCGGAGGGAGGGGTTCAAAACATCAGACAAAGAACGAAATGGAACACCCAGATGAGAGTTGTGGAAATGCTGATTTGGTTTTTTTTAATTATTGTTTTAACTTCTCATCTCAAAGAATTGGAAGGGGTTGAGCGGTGGGTCTGTTGGCTGCGAAGGTTTGGGAAGACAAAGGAAGAAGATGAAGGATCAGAACTGTTCTTTTCTTTTTAATATTCTATTTTTAATTAAGAGTTAGAGGTATTTTCACTCCGTTATCTAAGAGGACATGTGACAGAATATTAACATAGGAACATGAGGGGACATTGAAAAGTTAACACAAAACATATATATGCAAATCAATTATGACGAGATATCCATAATTGTAATAGAAATAGTAATTCGAAATATATTGATTGAGGTTAATTACTGTCATTTTTTGAAAGGTATACACATAGAGCGTGCCATTAGTGATATTCGTGTAAGTGTTCAAAATGAAGGAAATGAAGAATGTAATCGATGGAAGATCACTTGCTCATCAGGTATGTTGCGATTATGGTGTTATCTGGTAAAATTTAAATAATTTATTCTTATGTTATCGAACTCTTCGCACTTCGTAATACTACGTTTGTTTGTTTTTGCATTAAGAATACTGAAGAATACTAATGTTCATGAGCAGATAAGAATCTGTCATTGCATAGTTGTGAAGGCAATGGAAGGAAACCAATTTGTACTAATATGTGTCGAGACAAGAATTATAATATTTAGGTGTGTGGAACCAAATATTTGAAGATCCTAGGTAAAATAATTAGTCCTATCAATTTGGGGATTAATTGATTAAATTAGGTCAAATCCCTAATTGGTTCAATCTCCCTAAGTTAGGGAAAAATAATTCATTTTCATGTGAGGGATTATTCTTCCGAAACCCTAACCACCAAGGCCCCTATAAATATGTGGCCACGTACAAGACACGAGGTACGTCTAAAACTCTTTCCTTTAAAAATGAAGTTTATCAATTACCTTTGCCGCTCTGACCCCACTAATTATGGACTCTAAAATTGCAAAGAAGTCAAAATGACATGACCTGCCCGAATTTCTTTGGAATTCGTGATGAACCCTATGATTCGTCCGACATCAAACTGATGTCAAACCCACTTACTAACATGATAGCCTCTTTTCCAAATCAAGAAAAAGAGAAACGAGACTTTCTACCAAAATTTCGGTAGAGTCTCCCCTGAAAACGGACATTTCCCAAATTTTTAACCTGTCAAAAATGCAGTTTAATAATCACCAAGAACCCAATTGGGGAAAGCTTCGGCCAGAACCCTTCACCGAGCGCATAAAGCACTCACAGCAGGACAGAGACGTGCAGTCCCTGCGCATATCGTCCTACACAGGTGTAGAAGATCCCCTAACACACCTTCACTCTTTCCAATCTGCTGTAAGATGCAGGGGACTCAGCGACGAAGGGCAGTGCCTGCTGTTCCCGTCCTCGCTCACAAAGGCCGCCCAGAACTGGTTCTACCGTTTGGAACCAGGGACAGTCGATTCCTTCGATGAGCTGAAGCAGATCTTCCTGAATTATTTCATGATCCAAACGGACAGACTGTACTCTGCCGATGACCTATACACCGTCCGGCAGAGAGATGACGAGCCTTTGCGTGAGTACGCCGCACGATTCAGCCATGAATACTTGAGATGTCCGGATACCGATGATAGGGCAGCCTACGGTGCCTTTAAGAGTGGCCTACGGTCCTCACACTTTCGGTACCTGGTACATAGCAGCAATTGGCGAACGTACGACGAGCTAATGAAACAGGCGGCAATCCACGCAAAAGCTGAGTACTTCAATTCAAAAACCGAGCCAACAGCTCTGCAAGATGAACCTACTTAGCGGTCTGCAATGGTACAGGTATCGCCGTTTGCACAGAGGGGAAAACCTACCGAATACCCCGAGAGTCGCAAACGGAAGGACACCGGAAGCTCTCAAAAGGAACACTCCAAGAAGAACAAAGAAAGATACAGTAGAGATAGCTACCGAGCACCACTGCCAGCCCACAACCAGGGGGCAGAGGTCTTCACCCTGTTGAACACTTCTTACGAAGCGGTGCTGATGAACGAAAGCGGGATCATCCCGAAGCCAGCTTTCCGAAAGCTGACATGACAGGACAACCAGGATACCGGGAAATTCTGCCGATACCACTAGTAGAACAGCCACAATACCGAGGACTGCATAAGCTTGTGAAATATTGTAGAGCGGCTCATCCGGGAAGGCAAGCTGGACCAGTACATAGCCAGGCCACAACAGGCGCCAGTACCGAACGCCAATCGGCAAATCAACATGATCAGCACGATTAGTGGTGGATCGACCCTTGCGGGGGCATCTAACCGATCAAGAAAACAGTATGTCAGGGCGGCACAGTACCCTCAGGTCCTCAGCATTGAAAGTAGCCGTCACACCAAGATGCCGAAGGTCCGGTGGGAACCCATCACGTTCTCCGAAGAAGAGGAGGAAGGGATCCTCTACCCCCATGACAACCCCATGATAATCCGAGCTGAGATCACCGGGTTCGATGTTGGCCAAATCCTGATCGACACTGGAAGTTCGGTAAACGTAATCTTCGCCGATGCGTTCAGAGAACTCGAAATAGATGACAGCCAAGTCAATCGACGGCTCTCACAGGAGAACTATTACAGCCGATCGGTAGCGTCAGCCTACCAATCACCTTCGGCATAGCACCCAGGAGAACTATGGTCTACGACCAGTTCCTTGTGGTCGACTGCCCAACGGCATACAACATCATAGTAGGCCGAACGGCGCTCACCGCGATAAAAGCCCATTTGTCCCCCCTACATGTTGCTCTTGAAATTCCCTACCTACTACGGCACGGGAGCAATTTGGGGTGACCAGCTAAGCGCTCGGAACTGCTATGCGACGGCATTGAAGTCGACAGGGCCTCGGAAACAAAGGGAAACCCTCATCGTCGAGGGCATGCCGAACGGAAGTAACCCTGTGGATGACCCCAGGGAAGAAACGCTAATCCCGGTCGCGCAACCTACCGAGGACCTTGAAACTGTGGCACTGGATGAAAGCCAGCCGGACAGGAGTGTGAAGATCGGTACCATGCTAAACGCCACCCTCCGAGCCGAGTTCATCCAGTTCATTCGGCAACATTCAGAGGTCTTCGCCTGGTCCTACGACGACATGCCGGGCATATCCCCGGATGTCATCAACCACAAGTTGAGCATCTCTCCCGCCTTTAAGCCTGTCAGACAAAAGCGCCGATCCTACGATGCCGAACGGTATGAAGCCATGAAGAACGAAGTGGATAAATTCATGACCATAGGCTTCATCCGGAAAGCCAAACTCTGTAATGGTTCGAAAGGCCAAAGGCGGATGGCGAATGTGCCAAGACTATACCGACCTGAATAAGGCCTGTTTGAAGGATAGCTTCCCATTGCCACGCATCGATCAGCTAGTAGACGCCACAACCAGTCACGAACTGCTCAGCTTCATGGATGCGTACTCTGGGTATAATCAGATTTTCATGCATCCTGCCGACAGCGAACATAAGGCGTTCATAACGGACAAAGGCCTATACTGCTACAATGTCATGCCGTTCGGCCTAAAAAATGTTGGAGCAACCTACCAAAGGCTGGTCAACCGAATCTTCGCCAAACAGATCGGCAGCATGATGGAAGTCTACGTGGATGACATGCTAGTTAAGAGCCGAACGGCAGGGGAACACCTGTCCCTCATGTTCGGCATCTTGAAGGAGTACCGAATCAGACTCAACCATACGAAGTGTGCCTTCGGCGTATCTTATGAGAGATTTCTCGGTTTCATGATCAGCCAGAGGGGTATCGAGGCAAACCCCGATAAAATCAAAGCCATAATTGACATGGAGGTACCAAAGACACAGAAGGACATCCAGAGCCTTACCGGACGAGTCGCAGTCGTCACCGCATCTTCCAAGGCCGCCCCCATCTCAGCCATCTTAGTCTCTGAGGCCTTCACTTGCCGCTCGGCAGCCGGCATATCCAGCACGAGGTTGGCGTGGTCCTGAAGGACTTTGCCAGCCTCGGCAACTTTGGCTCAGCCCTCCTCGTACATTCTTCGCGAGCGCTCGGCAGCAGCATTGGCCCGCTTCATGCAGAGCCACATATCCATGGATGCCTGCAAAGGAATCGGTCAGCAAAAATGGAATAACAACTGCAAGAGAGAAGTGAAAAGAACTTACAGAAGCCTGGAGACGGAAGGCGCGCCCGGCCTCCTCCCGAAGGAGCTTAAGCTCCTCTATCTCGGACAGCTCCATCTGCAAACCAAGGATCATATGGTTCACAAACTGAACCGTCTTCGACGGACAGGCGATGTTGATGGGCTCCATGGGACCGTCCTCATCTTCAGCAGCAAGGATTGCCTTCGGTGGCTCAGACTGCTGACCCCGCTTGGGTGCCGTCTCGACCTCCACGTCCACGGTCATATGCTGTTTCCAGTAGGCCCTGTCTTGAGCAGCCTCGGCGTTCTGCCCACCACGGGGCACAGACTGAGCTTCAGGCGCCCGCCTGATCGGCGCCTCGGTGCTCAACTCCCTCCGCCGATCGGAAAGGGTCTGATCCTCCGGATCGGCGACGGCTGCCTGTGCCGAAGATGTCTCCGGCTGTTTCTTCTATTTTTTTGCCCCCATAGCCACCTGGAAGCGCCTCTTGGAAGACTCGGACATCTTCTTCGCTTCGGCGGATTTCCTGGCATCAGTCACTAACACACAAAAAAGAAGGAGGATCGATAAGCCAACGAAATTCACCAGGTAAACTTACAAGAGGGGGCGAATTACACTTACTCTCAGCATGGCTGATAAGGCGGGCTCTGATTAAGTTCTCGGTAAAGAGGAACTCTGGGTAGACCTGAGAACCGGCAGGGACTTTCTGTCTCACCCTGTCAATCTGCCGAATCTTAGCTTGATTGGGGACCGGCTGCTTCAGTTTGCCTGCAAAAATAACCACACAAAAAAAAGGTTAAGTCCATCGAACAGGAATAATCAGCGACCTACCGATCGGCATGATAAAGGCCTACCAGTAATCTTGAAGGTAGTGGGGATGTGGAACCGAACGAGAACTCCCGAGGGAGATTCCCAGTCCCCCGACAGCATCACCCGTCGATTTCTCCAAGACTTCTGAGAAGTCAGCACGGCACTGATGAAATGCCCTCGTTCGGAAGCCCTAAGGCAGTTGGCCTGAACCCAACCACCACGATCGGCACTCTTGGACTTAGTAACGTTGTAGAGATAGGAGAACTGTTCGTATGAAGGTTACCCCCATCAGGGCCACGCAGAAGTTGGGATTGAATTGGCCTGGAGCGTACCCAATTTGGGCAAGGATCCTTTGAACGGCAGGTTGCAACGGCAACCTGACGCCTTGCTAAAGCACATCCGTGAAGAAGGCAACTTCACCATCCTCGGGTTTACTCAGGGATTCGGTAGGGCCCAGGATCCTCATCCTTACTGAATCGGGAATCATGTATTCGGCTCGGATCTTGACCAACTCTCAAAAGGTCATCTTGTTAGGCTCCAGGTAGTCTACGGCAAACAAAGTCTCATTCGGCACCCCTACGACTACCCTGGGATTTCCTCAATTAACTATGGTGACCCTCGGCAGGGAAGAGGGTTCAGCAGCAACTTCCTCGTGGCCAGAGGTGGAGGCTTTCGATCGGTGGCTGGTGTCCCGATCCGGCGCCCGAGAGCTCCCCACTTGAGGCTCGGGGGGCGGACCTAAACCAACATGACTGCTGTCGCTATACACCACAGCCAACGGCAGTGGTTGGCTAGTCATCAACCCTTTACCCATACCGTGGGTAGGTACAGAATGAACCCTCTTGCTGATGACTTCAACATCGGCATCTCCATCGCTCTCGGCATTATGACTTGAGGTCTCGCTACGGGAGTCCCCTCGCCCGTTTGATGACTCCTCATCAAACGTGTTGGGTTCCCTCTCTCCCGAAGACTCACTATTGGACATCTACAAAACACAAATAAGGAAACTAAGGGCCATGCAGAAGACTAGCCTACCGATGCCTACATCACTACCTATGACAACTAGACTACCAAACGAAACCCCACTTGCACGAAAGTTCTGTCTAGTTCATGCTAAGGAAGGACGCATACAAAAACAAAAGTCTAGGATGTCGAACGGTACCTTACCTCAAAGTTGCGGATGAAAAGGATTCGCCTTTACTACCGATTGATCACATCAGAAATTGCCTTTATTGCCGATTGATCACGTCAGAAATCGCCTAAACTGCCGATTGATCACGTCAGAAATCGCCTTGACTGCCGTTAGTTCTTGTTGGAAATCGCCTGGACAGAGCTCTCGCAACACTCACAAATGCAAAGTGAACTTTGCATCCGGAGTCGCTCCTATTTATAGGACGAGGAATTGCAACGGTACGCCTCGGGAAACCAAACGGCACATTAATGACGCCGCTCAGCATGATAGGACCCGCCACGTGGCACGTGGTGAATGGAGCTTCTGACAGCACGCGGGGCGCAGAAGACGAAGCGTCATTCTGTCCCGTCATTTCTCCTTCTCAGCTCGCATTCCTCGAATCAAAGGTCCAAACCATCCAAGTCAACGACCAATCGGAAGGTCTCCAACGGTATCTGTTTAATAGGGCCTCTTCTACCGAACGACAACTTTCGAAATGGCAACCTTTGAGCTCCCAAGGATATGCGCACCGAACAAAAAGACACAGACAAGGGCCAAAGCACCATCCTCTGCGAACCTACCGAACGGCAGGACAAAATTTTGACTACCGAGGAAGAAATCAAGTCCCCATTTTGGTTCTTTTGCTTTGCATATGTTGGAATTTTATGTATCTAAATATTCCTTGCACCCATTTTATGAAACTTTTCAAGTGAGCTAATACTTCTTCCCTTCTACACATTTTGTCATCATCTAATTAACAGCGATGCATACAACTTTCACTTATACATACTTCTTCCCTTATATTTAGATTTTGAATTTCCGTTGCAGTGGTAGGTTTCTTGCAAGGTTTGAAATCAAATCTCCTTGAACTTTTAGGTATGCTACAATTTTTTTTTCATCTTTCCTTTGTTCTCCATTAATTGCTTTAGCAATAAATTTTTTCATGAATTAGTGGTATGACATGTTTTTTTCAATGCCAACCTAGGAATCAACTGCATACGGGAAATCAAACAGGCCCACATTCAATCACGTGAACTCCTACATCACATGTTGAAAGTGACAAAACATCGACATAACCGTGATAATGTATTTCCAGCACTGTTAAGAGCTATCAAGCGAGGGATGTTTGAGTTTACTGACAGTGTATTGCAAGCAAGACCAGATCTCATGTGGCTCTCTAATCAAAAGGGCAGGAACGTCTTTCATTTGGCCGTTGAATGTCGACAAGAAAAAATCTATAGCCTTATTTATAGACTCAATGAAAGAAAAAGAAAATTGATTGGAAGTTTTACAGATGAGTCTACCAATAACGCGCTACATGTGGCCGGGATGCTATACCCATTGGCGAACCTCGATAATATCGCAGGTGCAGCTTTGCAAATGCAGAGAGAAGTGCAATGGTTTAAGGTCAGAACATATTCTATATAATTCAGAGTTTTTTTTTCTCTCTCTTATGAATTAGCTTTCCTATGTAAATTGTGGGAATCGGCCGTGGGCGCACTCTATTGTTATTTATCAATCGGCATGGTCTGCTTTAAATTACAGCTCAAAGGTCATTCTGCTACAAACTAGCTAAAATAATAAATCACTAAAGGCATCTAACATTACATGCCATATGACTGAATATGAATTTTCATACATTATTTGTTGTAAAACAAATAGACCGTTACTGTGTATTTGCATTACATTGCATCCTCTAATAGACGGATACTGTCCTAAAAAAATTGAAGAATATCGGAGTTACTTTATACTTTTTCAACTTATACAAATTGTAACATCGATGAAAATAAATTGTTTGGGCTGAAATGAGTCATTTCATGTATTGAGATCAAGTTTTCGTTAGAAAAAGTGTAAGAGCATCTACAATCATATCATATGGCTGAATATGAATTTTCATGCATAAGTTGTAAAACAAATAGACCGTTACTGTGTATTTGCATTACATTGCATCCTCTGATAGACGGATACTGTCCTAAAAAAATTGAAGAATATCGGAGTTACTTTATACTTTTTCAACTTATACAAATTGTAACATCGATGAAAATAAATTGTTTGGGCTGAAATGAGTCATTTCATGTATTGAGATCAAGTTTTCGTTAGAAAAAGTGTAAGAGCATCTACAATCATACTCTTTATTTTTTAGTTAAAATTTAGCTAAACGCATATAAAAGTTATTTCAAAAGCTGTCTATAAAATTTTAGATATTTATAAAAATACTCAATCCTAGACATATATTTATAAAAATACCCAAGCACTATTTAAACATAGAAACATACCCAAAATGGGTTTTGGGTATGCGTGTAATGATGGGTTTTGGGTATGTTTATAAATGGGTTTTGAGTGTGTGTAATGATAAGTTTTGGGTATGTTTATAAAGTGTTTTGGGTGTTGGGTGTTTTTATAATTTCAGCCCCCATTTTGGGTATTTTAGTGAAACTTAGAGCGTCCACAATCATGCTCTCTATTTTTCAGTTAAATTTTAGCTCAAAACATATAAAAGTTATTTTAGGAGCTCTCTAATAAATTTAAACTTCAATCATGCTCTTTAGTTTAGGGAGTCATAAATGCTATTTTTTTTTTAATTGGGCAATCTCTATTAAAAAATAATATAAAAAATAGTTAGCATTAAGTACAGGTTGGAAATACTCATTAAATAAAACAACATTAAATTATAGGGAGCAACTAGAAGTCCTTTCTCTTTCCTCAGATTTAAGAGCTCCTAATGGTCTCCCTATTTTAGGAGGTAGATAGGGAGCATGGTTGGAGTTGTATTTTGCAATTCCTCCCTAAAATTTGTCGAATGAGGTGGTTTAAGGAGCCCATTGTGGATGCTCTTATACTCTCTAGTTTAGGGAGTCATAAATGCTACAACTATTTTTTAATTGGTTTATCTCTGTAAAAAAAACATAAAAAATAGTTAGCATTAATTAAAGGTTTAAAATATTCATAAAATAAAGCAGCATTAAATTATAGGGAGCCACTATGAGTCCTTTCCCTCTCCTCAGATTTAGGAGCTCCTAGAAGTCTCCCTATTTTAGGAGGTGAATAGAGGGAGCATGATTGGAGTTGTATTTTTCTCCAATTCCCCCATAAAATTTGTTTAAGGTCATTTAGGGAGCCTATTGTGGATGCTCTAAAAAGGTGGTCAACATAGTTACATTTAGTAGTTTATTCATTCCAATATTGAAAACTAATGCATCAAACTTATTTTCTAATCGAAAACTAGAGCAAAATAGCACAAGTTAAACTATAATCTTTAAAAGAAACTTCAAATGCAGAATGAACAAAAAAATTATGAACAGAAAAATTGGAATAAAGGTCGGCCCTAAGATGTCTTATTCAACTTACTTTACGGTCAGCATGCTAGTCTTCTTGTTACCTCTGCTCTCTAATGGTTTGGATTTGTATGGCTTCTCTCAAATTTCAAAGATTCAAGGGTGGATTATTGGAAAAATAGAGTAATAATCTTTTACTCATATGAATATTTTTGTTCAACAAAAATGTAGGAGGTCGAGACTATCGTATTACCCCGGGATAAAGAATCTACTAATGACGACGGGATGACGCCGCGTGAGCTGTTTACAAAGAACCACAAGGAATTGGTGAAGGAAGGAGAAAGATGGATGAAAGAAACTGCAACTTCATGTACAGTTGTAGGTGCTCTCATTATTACCATCATGTTTGCTGCAGCGTTCACAATGCCCGGTGGAAACAATGGACAAACAGGCTTCCCAATATTCCTGCATAAAAAGTTCACTACAAGAAAAAAGTCCTTTCACAACGCGCAATGTGCGTTGTGAAAACATATTGACAACATGCGGCGCACATTGTTGAAGCCGATGTCGTTAAAAGGTGTAGGGCTTTCGACAACACGCGTTGAACGTCGTCATTTATTTTGGCGCTCGTTGTGAACAACATTAACCACAACACGCGCACGTTGTAGGAGCGATTGACAACAACGTGCCGAGCGTGTTGTCTTATAATATTATGACAACATGTCTGTGCTCGTTGTTGTTTATGTTTTGACAACAAGCAATGCGCGTTGTTATATCAAATATATATGTTTTTTTTTAAATAATTATCAAAATTACCTGATAAAAGTATAATTTATCTATAAATAGAAGCTCTATGATAAACATAAATATTTCCTTACTTCACATTCATAAGGCATCCCAGAATACAAAGCTTTCATTCAAAAGATAAATAAGGAGTTCCATATACATATTACAAAGTTATATTCATCCCAATATACTCATCGATGGTGAATGTAGCTGGAAACCACTGATTGAAGCTCATCAGCATCCTGAAAACCCCATTGCCTGTTGTATTCATCCCATTGCCTGATTGAATTTTCATAACCCCCATTAACAGAGTTATTTGAATTCATAAGCCCTAGCAATAGTAAAAAATGGTTGACTGGATCTCAGAACTAAAAGATTATTATCTTAACGCCGGAGATGGGGAATCTTTAATAATTGTGGAACATGATCTGACAAAATAATTATAATTTTCATTAAATATAGTTATTCCTTTCCATTTTCCCAATAATTTATTATATAGGAATCTTGTAATATTATAATTTGATGATAATTTACACATTTTGAGAGGATCAAATTGTTAGCTCATGTTACTATTGACACGTGTCCTTGTTGAGGTGGCAAGTTTGTTAGCTCTTCACGTGTTTATTAGTGTGATTAGTTAGTCTGTTAGGCAGGTTAGCTTAGTAAAGAAGTCATCGTTACACAGCTATATAGCCCTCGTCGTAAATAATGTTCCTCAATCACGGCGTGCATGAACTTCGTAATAAAAACTTAAGACGACATTCCCTGTGAGCCGTAATTCAGTTAAAGCAATTATGACACGCTTTGCGGGCCGTAAAAGAGTAATTAATGCTCATTTAAGACGTTCAGTGCATGCCGTGTTTAACTTTAAATTTTTTTTTAAAAAATTTATTAATTCCCTACTTGCTCCTGTTTCATATTTACAATATACTTATATCATCTATTACTTCCCTGGATACAAAATTTCACAAAACGAAAATTAGTATTGCAACCAAACTTGAAAGAAAGAACCATTTCATTGAAAACTATACTAATCATAATCAATTCCAAATACAAACTCTATAAAGTATTAAAGAAACACATAATAGTGCTGCCAAATTTACAATTGACTTGTACACAGCCTCCAACTCATTCACTCATAATAGTGCTGCCAAACCTACAACGTAACCTATGTAAAAACCTCATGATAGCACTGGCAGTAGACATCATCTAACAAGAATCAAAATCACACTTGATCTGCCACCTGCATTTTGTTTTTAAAAAATAATTAATTTCTTGACTACCCTGATTTCTTATTAACAAATATACTTATATCAATTATTAACCTGGACACACATGATGTCGCAAAAAGAAAAGAAGTATAGCAACCAAACTTTAAATCAACAACCATTTCATTGATAACTATACCAATTCCAAAAACATAATTACTGTTTGTGCAAGAGTAAATAATAAGGCATCTAAGCATACACAAAACTTCTATACATGGTTCAAATTCAATAATCACTGCTAGAAAAATGACAATAGACGACCGGGAAACACCGATATCGAAAAACTTGGAGCAATATACAAGCTGGATTGTTGTTCTACCAACCTTGCACCAGCAGAGGCCATATATAATCATGTATGCAATTGCTTCTGTATTCACACTGAGGAGCTAAAATGCAAAAGTCAAAGAAAGACTAATTTGAAGCTTTAGAAAAAGAGGGAAAAAAAAAGATTATATTGAAGCTTACCACATTGCAATCAGTAATGTTGTTTCTGCCCAAGTTGTTTCTGTGTAGAACCAGATTATTTTTTTTACACAACTTTGCACCAAACCCTAGTCCTCAAAGGGTCACAAGAGCTCTACTTAACCCAACCTAAAACAAGAACAGACAAGAAAATAATTAAAAGCAAATGTCTGCAATCATACTAAGTATATAAACTTTATGCAATCCCAGATACAATAAATTTCAACATCTACACCAGAATAGCCAGCAATTAGAATACTAAAATATAAAAACAAGATAATTAAATGTTGGTTCAAATTCATATTGGAGATAATTTCCTGCATTTGACAAACTGATCATGAAGAAATAGTGGACGTTCTGGGCAGTTGACATCATGCATACCACATTTGTCTACCTGCAATCTGCCATAATTACATTAAATCATAATGTACACATAAATTTTACAGGACAATGCATCTACATGCCAGATGGTTCTTCACAAAATTCATCCAGACCTGCAAGGTTTCTATACTTAACCTTAGAAAGTAGCCTCACTTATGTTCAAGGAAACACACTACACAGAAATCAGATTGATAATGAAGCTGTGTTTCCCTGTTTGTGTCATCTTCAAATTGCAAGATGTTTTTTCATAAGAAACCAGACCTGTAACCAAATAAAGAGGGACTCAACCAACTACTTGCTGATCTTCAGCGTACAACTCATCATAAATAAACATGAACCAAAGATCAAATCTAAAACTACAAACTAAACAGCAAGCAATCAATATGAAACATATATATAATTGAAATTCTTATTTAGTTAATTTTAAAAACCTAAATTTCTGCCAAATACCAAGATAGATTCGACCCCAAACACCAAAACAAATTAAAACTGAAATGAATAAGAAAGAATTCTTACCAAAATGTGGAGCAGTCAGTGGTCATGGGGTAGTGGCGTTGATCCTTGGCAGCAGAGGAAGAGGATTAAAAAAATAAAAACGGAATATTAAAATCAGAAAGGAAAAAAATTCTGAATCATAATCAAAACAAAGCAACTGCCTCAAACGTTGTGTTCAGACCTTTCATTGAACACTTGGGCGGCACCATTTTCAGGTAGATCCACACGATCAGTCGAACACCTGCTATCTTCCGCACATGGCTCTCTTGTAGTGGAAAAAATCAAAAGTAAAACAATAATGAAACATGAAAAAGAAATTAGAGCAGATAATTGCAGTTCTTAAATCAAATTCAATTAGAAGAATCTTCAGATTGAACATACTAGCCAATAATTTTTTTTTTTAACTGTATAAGAAGCTGATTTTTACCTCTTTCCCACCGTCCTCTCACCCAACTTTTTCTCCAACTTCAACCAATCACATGGCACCTCTTCTAAAAACAAACCAAAGCACCATTAGATTCAGCAAAATGAATAATAAAAAATCTAAATATAAATTAAACTTTTGAAAGAATTTGAAACTTTGTAGCACATAAATTGAAATAATTGAAAGAATTTGATTTTGAAACGTCGTAGCCAGTGACGTTCTACAAAATTTAGTAAAACCAATTGAGAGTGCAGCCGTGAGGTTCTGCAAGGCTAAATTGAAAGAACTTTTTTATGACATCTGGAAAATAAAGAGCGATACAGAGAGTTAGGGTTACCTTGTGTTAAGCTCATAATTTCATACATATACATGCCCTATTTACTTACTTCTTTTGCTTAGTTTCTTAGATTTATAAGTTATTTGCCTCCCTTTGTGTGTTTTGTAGGCAAATAGAGCAAGAGAGCATAATTCATGCAATTCAAGCATGTTAAGGCCTAATTTGGATGAATGGATGAAGAGCTTAAAAGACAAACTCATTTTGGCTACAGCCCCCTGCCAGTCCAGTTCCGTAGGTCATATTGCAAGCTTTGGTTCAGCAACCTACACAGCTCGGATGAGGCAGCATTCTTCATGAAAGTTGTTCCAATTGGTGTGTACTATAACATATCCAAATTCGGCCCCATTGGATAACTATGGAGTCTGTTACCTAGCAAACACAGAGCCATGCTCAGGATGGATTTTATCAGCGCGCAAAATGAGTTAGCAATTTGTTTTGGCCTTAACTTCC